TCAAGTGGTGCTGATTACGTCACCTGACATGGGCATCAGTTGACCCTGAGATACACTTGTATATCTCCGACATCTCAAATACACCCACGTGCAAAGTGTTGATTAACACCTGCTGCAACTTTGCTGACAAATGATCGAAAAACTAGGGTCATTTATATATATCTTTTTAAAATCAGTGTTGGACGAAGGTTTCCCCAATAACTTGGTTGAGACTTTCATCCAGCAGTGGAAGGATCATAGTTGATTACTTACTTACTCCTCTTCGCTCCCTGTGGAGCATAAGCCCGCAACAAGCCCACGCCATGCGGGGCGGTCTTTAGCAGCTTTCTCTGCTTCACCCCAAGATCGGCCCACGGTCTTTAGCTGGTTTTGAATTTTGTTCTTGTTGCAGTTTCCATAACAATTCTGGGTTTTCTGGGGTGGGGTTTTTAGCCCCACGCCCAACCCCCAACCTGGAGGACCAGGGGTTGTCCACTTCGTCTGTCCTCTACCCGTTGACCAGTCCGATATGGTTGGACCTGCTGGGAGCCTAAGGCTCCTGCTGGCTTTGCTCTCTGGGTCATGGAGGCACAACAAGCATCTCTACCACGACAAGGCGACAACACAGATTGTGATGAATCCATTCAAAAACAAACAAGACTTTTCTTATAATAATATGGTTTTCCCCCCTTTTTCTGGCTTTACAAGGATTCATGTCTGCATTAACCACACTACCTGCAGTGAAAATGCAAAAAAAAACATACTATGATAATGTATGATGCATTGTCCTAGAAACTGATTGGTCCACACCAAGGGACGGCTTTCTTTTGAGCCTCGACCCAATTGGTGCTCGACCAGATGACGCCAAAAGAAATGAATCCTTGTAAAAAGGTTTTAGTTTTGTTGCCAGAAAAAAGTAGAAAACCCTATTATTATATTTTGGTACTGGCAAAGGAGGTCTAATGATGTAAAGACTTTTCTTCTGGTTGTGCTGAAACCACTTTACTTATTTAAACTTAGTTATTTTTTAAAAATAGCATTTGAAGAAGAGAAAATGAGTGCGAATAGACCAATTTTCAAGTCATGATTCCATTGCGTGCTCAACCCAAAGGACTAACTGCAGACTCCACTACCCGCTCAGACTGGGCGACAAAATACCACCACACCAATTCGACACTCATCAGAATGTGCTTACAATACTTGTTTTACCTGCAGTGTCAGTGAAAATAACTATTTGCTTAAGCAGACATTTTGGGCAGTTTATCAAAAAGGAATGCCCACTGACTTCTCCCACGGTGGTAACTCGTGTTCTTTGACCCTGGGGGAACAGTGGGCTGAGTTGAACCATGGCCACGATTTAAATTTGCCATGACAGGCGGCCTCCTGTTAACAACGGTCCGATTTACTAAGATTCACATTTACTTTTTGGCGCCGCGGTGGCGAGATGTTAACTACCTCGCCTGGTATACAGGCGGGTGTGCGTTCAGTCCCGACCCTGATTTCTGTATATTAGAAACATGCATTTTGAGTATTTGACTGACATACATTTCCACGTGATAAGCCACTTTGTTGAGCTCTCATTTGTGGCCAAGTCACTTCTGAAAAAGAGCTCAGCCCTGGTAAAACATTTTTTTTAAATAGTTTAACTTGATTTACGACGCATCTTCTGACATGACTCCGAACACATTTGAACAGAGTCAGCCTGGTCTCCGATGTCACTTGGCTTGGAGCTTTTGTTATTCTCAAGTGTTTTCGTGGATGTTTACCTCTTAAACCCTAGTGACGAATTGGCATGTTCCATTTTACGTGACAACCTTTACTAGTTGGCTGTGTCGGGTGGTGGCGGCTTTTAATGAGACATTTATATATTTACGTGATCTGACCCCAAAAAAACCTCGATTATGGACTATTAAACTTTGTTAAGACATTGTTGATAAAAGGAAGTGATGTTTCTACTGTCTGTGGGAAACGTCGGGTCCGATTTACAACGAGGTTTCCAGAAACGCATTGTAACGTCGTAAAAAGCGGGGACCGCCTGTAATCCCATTTTTGCATGTGGCAATGTGTTCCGGAGGTGAATGCTTCTGAGCAGTTGCGAGGCAAGCAATTAAACTTTAGCCCCCACCCACCCACTGGGCCATATACTTGTGCAGAGGGAAACACTCAAATAAACTTCAGCTTACAGTGGCCTCTGTTTAAAAAATAGATGTCAAAGTGTTTAAAACTATGAAGGAAGCATTAAAGCAAAACATAGCAATATAAAATTCCCCTTGATAGCTACACTTTTAATACCTTGCTATAAAACTGGAAGAAAAAAAACACAAACTCATGCCGAGGCTATTACAACATATTGCTCTTAAAAAAGTATATTTCAGTAATAAATATATTTCGACATTACAACATTGCTATATACTCAAACATGGCCATAAATATAAGTTCACCTTGCTATCACAATGCTCGCAGAAAAAGTAAACACTCGACAGTATTTCAGCATCAGTTATTGCTTTCCCCTGCCTCCCCCCCCAGAGCCCCATTTGCTTCCTTCATATTTTATATAAACATCCAGAGCATGAATAACACATTCCGTTGTTATGCTACTGACCCCAACAATGCACTTCTGAAGAGAATTACTTCCTCATCATCGTCATCAGATTTTGTTGAGTGTTATACTTCAAGATAACATAGAGAAAGTCAAACTCGGACAGAGATTTCAATGTGGTGACGATTCCTGTGCAAGCCATGGAAAATGGGTTTGAGACGATCAATTGGCTACACACGAGAACCCTTGCGGACCAAGGAGACAGCATTAATTTTTTGCTTCCTTGCGTCACGGCTTGAAACTAAAAAGCACTGCCTCCGAGCTCTGACATGGTACATTAGCAGTTTTATACATTTACGAAATCCCAGCAGCGCAATATTAAGTTGGATCCACTGCATTCTTAATTCATACATTCACTACGCAATCATCATAGCCATTAACAGATGCATACTCCGCACTGCGAAATATGCCTCAGGGGTTAAAATGATGAGCGGGATTGTAGAGATTGGGAGTTAAGACAATCAGAGATACAAAGTGTTATAAACTCAAAACTAAACTATTTTCTTTCATCAGATAAGGCCAATTGAGCTATATAGCTATTTTTCAGAAGTTACCCGACTCCAAATGATCGCTCAACAAAGTGGCTTATTACGTGGACATTTATAGCAGCCAAATACTTTCAACGCATCCTTCTTAAACGTGGAGGGAAAAACCAGAGGACATGAAGAAAAATCCACGCGACCACGGGGAGAACATGGAATCTACATATATACAGGCGTTAGGGTCGGGATCGAACCCACGACCTCCTGCATACCAGGTGAGGGAGATAACATCTCGCCACCAGGAAACCCCAACTATAAGTTGAGAAGAATGAGAAGTAGGATATGTGTTGAAGGAGTATGAAGGGGAAGGCTGGACTAAGATTGTTGAGAAAAGCACAGAGAGTACAAGGAAGCATAGGATTGAACGTGAATTGAAGGCTGTAATTAGAGAGCAGTGAATAATTTAAGTGATTGGCTCCTCCAAATGTTAGGTGGTACTCGTCTTTATTGGTGGCCTCAAGCCAGGGATGGAAATTCTTAATTGCCATTGCAGGTCCATTCTCTTCATAGTGTAGAGGAGTAATGGATGACATGACGTCATGAGCACCATGAAGCAGGGACGACGTCATGTCACGGGGATTGTAAGGGGGGTGCTTAAGGGGGAATCCCGTGACGTGAGCGGGGTCGTTATGGGAGCTCGTGACCGGACGGAGTTGGCTGAACCCCCGTCACGACTCGAGTGAGAGAGCCCAAGAGAAAGCTGAGGCTAGGGACAGATAGAGCCTGAGGTCCGAGTGAAGGACCAAGTGTAGGGACACCTATCTCTGGTGTAATGTGTTACCCTTGTGTTAATAAACTGGCGTAAGTCCCTACGTAAAGTTCTGTCTTCGCGTACATCTTGACTACACAACAATGGGACAACCATCGTTGACTTTCCACCAAGCGGTACTCATTTTATAAAGAGCAGACGGATGATGGCATAATTTTATGGAGTTAGAACCTATGGCATTTGTGGGACTGATCGACTGTGTAATGTATGGTGAATACATCTTACGCATTATAGTACAGGAGTAAGACTGATTACTACACGTGAGTGTACATATCACTGGTTGCAGTGCTAAGATCACCCACTAGATTAATTGGCTTATTTGTCCAAGTACTGATGACTTGCATGAATTATGAGTTGTCTTATGAAGAATTAAATATATATATAATAAACACCATGTTTCTAACTCAGTTTAAAACACATTCCTGCGGAGGGAGCTGGTAGGAACGTTGGGTTGCTCGGTCAATGGCAGCGTGGTGTATTCCGCAAATATGCCCGACTGTGAGGGCGGGCACAAGCCGGCGTGAGTAGGTTAAACGTTGAGTTTTATAAGGGCACCACGGGGTGACCAGCCCCACCCCACCCAGCCCCACCCCTCCCACCCTCCCACCCCCCACCCAGCCCCTCGCCACCCAGCCCCTCCCCACCCTCCCACCCCCCACCCAGCCCCTCCCCACCCTCCCCTCTCCACCCAGCCCCACCCACTCCCATTTTTGGATGCACGACGGACGGACGGACACAATAATCCCCTGTGGGCTGGTGAAACCAGGAGGTTCCTACCAGTATGATACGATAACATATTTTAGTCATGTGGCTAATGACTCTAACACTCAGGCCAGAGGCGATTTCCATCGCGGTTTACAAAGGCAATGGGCCACTGTCTTTAATATACTCTATACGACCCCTTAAGCAAGCTTTGCGTTGCTATATCAAAGTGTTCACAGAACGATCCACAACATACCGATCGTGTTAAAGTGCAACCTTAATGTTTTATCAACAAACACATCGAACAACTCATCTGTAAGTTATATCATTGTATGCTCGTGATAATCTGAGCATTATGCAATATTGGAAATAGGTGAGTTGTAAGAAAACCAGGACGAGGAGGTGGCACCTTAATAATGGTGAAGAAGAGCTGGTGGTCAGAGGCGTCAACCAGGCGGTCAGAGAAGACGCGGTACACCTCGTGGACCCACAACCGCATCAATTTCCTGGCACCGTCGTCACCCAGAGGAACGCAAGAGGCTTTCACCAGCATCAGGCCCTGCAGCAACACACACACAATCAATAACCAGTCACGATTCAATGTTTTTTTTCCAAGAGTCTACAAAGCCGAGGCCGTTCGTACCTCGTACACAGGTCGACACGAAGCTAATGTGTTTGGAAAACTTGTTACAAGTGAGCTGGCCTTTGATCAAGTTTAGTAAATCCACTGTTTGGAGCATTACTCTTGAAAGTAACCATCTAAGAACGCTTTAGAAATAAAATAATTCCATATTTAGTATGTTGAGAGCATTTTTTTAGTAATCTGATAACTCGGTTGCCATTATGATTACATTAACCAAATATTCGTATATTATAATCATTTGTACCCTGGGTAAAAGCAGTGGTCCAGTGGGTTCGTTGCACTGTGTTCTGAACCGGGCAACCACACGTTTGATTTCCAGCCACGGCGAACATCAGGGGCAAATACTGGTTCTGGGTTCGGATCTTTCAACATCCCACAATGATCGTCACGGCGAAGTAAGGCCAAACAGCCTTCAGTACTGACAAAGCATGGAGAAGCCTTTGAGCAATCTGCAAAATCTGCATTGTGTTTGAGGGTGAATTATTTTTTTCAGCAACACCGGCACGACTATAGAATTGTAGGCTCTGTAACGTGATCTGTATGCATTGGCTGTCCCTGTCCTCGTTTTAACCCGAGCTACTGGCGTGACCATCTTCCCAAGCGAATTGTTTAACAAAAAATTTTACTCCAAAAAGGAGAGAATCCATGAAAATGGAGAGGTGGCCAGATAGCTCAAGAGGTCAAAGCAAATTATAATATGGATTTATACTGGAGGAATCCGATTAGCTATGAAGCTCTTTTTCACAGATGTCAAGTATTTTACATATCAGTTTAACACGTAGGCTTTCGCGACCAATATTATTCATAATAAAGGGTTTTGGGTTTGATCGCGTTATTTATTGATGTGTCGCAAACCTCCACCACCCGACACGGCCAATCAGTAAACAATGATCTAACCCAAAACCTTTATTATGAATATTTTACAGATGTCCAGTACAATCGGGTCAGTGGTGCCAGCTGACTGTATAGCCAATTTATGCTCACAGTCCGGTCACCAGACTGTACAAAAAAACACGTCATATTAAATTCGGATGTGCACTTGATACTAAGAATTTTAAACATCGGTTTGACTGTCACGACTCTGCAGCCCGGTGGGGGAGAAAGTGTTGTCTCCCCCTAGGACGTGAATTAGAGGTCACTTGATGAAATCTCAAAGGCAGCTCTGCAATATCTACTTCAGTGAGCCATCTTCTAATACGGGGGGGAGGCGGGGGGGGGGGGCGGGGTTGCATTGCTCTGCCAGTCCCGAATGGATTTATTGCATTACATAAAACACCACAAGCACAATCAGGATTCTATTGGAGAAAAGGACAACACACTGGAAGTAACATGTCAAGTCAAAGTAGTCTGATAAAGCAATGAAGCTAAAGTCATGATATATGTAGTGGTTTAACACGCGCATACAGGGGGGGAATGGTAAAGACGCGCGAGTTATGGACAGTGGGGTTATGTGGGGCCGGCCAGGTGTGGCGGCGGGGAACTGTGCGGTAATGACGGGCCAATTAAGCCAGGGAGCGATGTACGGCTGTGATTGGCTGGGGTTGTTGTCAAGGACGAGGTGGCGCCGGAATGTCTGGGAATAGAGGGGGACAGGTAACAGGTGCGGGGGGTCACGGGGCGTCGGGGGCACGCGGACTAATTAATTGGTGGGTAATGAGAACGGGGATATATTCGGGAGACACGGGAAGACAGAGGGGAGTTGTGGTTGGGACTGGAACGAAGCAGGTCGGGGAGAACCGGAGCAATGACATAGGAGACAAAACAGGCTAGCAGTAGAGTAGAGACAAGCAGAGAGAAGCAGAGAGAAACAGAGAGAAGCGGAGATAAAGCGTGAGACAGAGACATCAAGTGATGGAGGGAGACAGAGACGGCGAGTGACGAAGAGAGACAGGGACAGCGAGTGACGAAGGGAGACAGAGACGGCGAGTGACGGAGGGAGACAGAGACAGCGAGTGACGGAGGGAGACAGAGACAGCGAGTGACGGAGGGAGACAGAGACGGCGAGTGACGAAGAGAGACAGGGACGATGCAGAGTGACAGTGAGGGATAGGGGAGGAAGCGGAGTGAGCGAGACGGGCGGAGCGAGTGAGCTGCGGCTAAGCGGAATGACGGAGTCACAGACGTAATGTGAAGAGTCGCAGACGTAATGTGAAGAGTCACAGACGTATTGTGAAGAGTCACAGACGTAATGTGAAGAGTCGCAGACGTAATGTGAAGAGTCACAGACGTAATGTGAAGAGTTGTAATAAAAGTGGTGTCGGAGAAAACAAGAAAATTGCCCGCGTCAAGTCGACCACTACATATATGATTGGAGGTGCCTGCCTTTGGTGATATTCTACATGCTGAAAACAATATGCATTCTACTTCTGAGCATCGAATATTCAATGAACACCTTTGGTGTTTTTAATTCGTGCATTTACACTGCACTTCATTCTTCTATATTCTTTATACATGAAGCACTCTTTAGCACCACTTTAGGGAAGAATTCACACTCGGGATTTGGATGAATATAACATTACCTCCTTTCACAAATGTAATGCCACATGCAAAATTAACACAGGACGCGATTTTACAAGTATGGTTATTCCACCGAGTGTAAATACTTCTTCTGGCTAAACTGGGCTTTGTAATACATGTAGGGTAAAATGCATCCACGTGTATTGGTGAATTAAACATGCGCGTGTGGATTGCTTTTCTAGTGACCCACGAAGCTACTGACGGCATGTAAAAGTGAAATAACGACTTACAACATATATAACATTTTAATTTCCATAAAAAAATGTATAGAAATTATGAAATAGAAAATCGAATGAGGGCAGGATGGAGTACATTTGGAAAACTAAATTCTATAATGAAAAAGAACAGACTGATGCACGGTTGGCTACGTGCTGTGCGAATGAGGTTCAACATACTTACAATATGACACTGACATGAATCAGAAAGAAAATGGAGGAAAAGATGAAAATGAACCGTGAAAGGTACATGGTGAGATGCCTGCTTGGAATGGAGATGAGAGACTTGAGAGAGGAACACATGAATTTGTAAACAAGTGAAAATTAGAGTGGTCTTAAGTGGGCTCGAGAAGGACACATCATGATTATCCTTTTCCCATTCCGATTATGTACAGTTTTCTTCTGATTCCGTTTTGATGACGTCCGTATACGTCATCGGAACAGAATTGGATTTTTTTTTTTTAAAACTACCAAGGCTCCCACAAGGCCATGCGGGAGGGCATGTGACACAGTTTGGTGCCAGCTATAATCGAATCCGAGATTCATGACAAATGGGACCCAGACGTCTCATAACGGGAAATGGTTAAGAATGATGCCCGTTGGAAGAGACTGAAGGATGGAGCACACCCAAGAGTATGACCACTGTGTGAGATGGAGTAATTAGATTAGCTAATGCGCAGTTGGATTGTGGCATATAAGATTTCAGAGATGTTGATGTAGTGGTGGGGCGGGGGTTCTTTGTCCAGAAGTCGATAGATCGTGGCTGAAGAACTCCCTGCTCTCACCTGTACCACTCTGGCAAAGTCTCTGAGGCTGAATATGTAGTGAGACTTGGACGGCGTAGGCAGGAAGCTTTGCACAGCTGCTGTGTACACTTCAGTGGTAGCCCAGACCAACACCTGCAAAACAAAAGTCTCAGCATCATGGACACGATACACTCAGCGATGCAATGTAGTACCATTTGTATGCATGCATCATTTCAAGCAGTGGTTCTCAAAGTGTGGTCCCTGGACAATCAGTGGTCCGCGATGGTCTTCCAGGTGGTGTCCGGTGGCTGTGATGCAAAAGCAGATTGATCTGGAATTAATAACAATGTTTATACCTTATGTTTCGGATATTAATATTTGACTTACATTTAATTTTTAAAAAATTATGTTAAGTGAACTACCCTGATTAAACTACCCTGACCCTAAGATCTAAACGCCCCCCCCCCTAAAAAAAACCCTTATAGCTGTGTAAAAAAAATGTAAATGCCGGTAATATGAATAATTTTGTACTGCTGATATTTAGAGAGAAGTGAATGTGTTTTGTGACCAGGGGTGGGGGCTGGCCGTGTGGTCCGCGGAAATGTTTGCATCGGCTGAGTGGTTCCGCGGGCCGAAACAGTTGTGATAAACATCGATTTGAAGGATACTGCCGTGATGTAACAGTTATCACACTGGACTTGGAATTCTAAGGTTGGTGGTTCAATCTCCCGGCGTGGCAGATAAAACAACGGTAAAGTTTCTCGAATCTTCCCGTCTCTGTCCAACTCATCAGTATATATTGGTACATCACAGTTGGACAATTGGCAGGGCGTGCGCGGTGCGGTTAAGTATGGGTCCTCTGATCGCTTCCAAAAAATCTAGCTAGTTCAGAAGAGTAGGCTAAAATACTGAACTGAACTTTTTATTTTACCAGGTAAGGCCCACTGAGTTATATACTGTAGCTCTTTTTCAGAAGCGACCTGACCACAAATGATAGAGCTCAACGTAGTGGCTTATCACGTGCAAATTTATAGCAGCCAAATACTCTAAACGCATGTTTCTAAATGCGGAGGGAAACACCAGAGGAGCCGGAGACAAATCTACATGCTCACGGGGGAGAACACGCTAACTCAAAAAATGCAGGCGAGGTAGTTAACATATCGTAGCCACTGCGGTGGTGAGGTACGCTCCAGAAGGGCTCCCGAGAGCTTCCACTGCGGTGGTGAGATACGCTCCAGAAGGGCTCCCGAGAGCTTCCACGCGCACGAGTGGAGACCTTTCTGCCACCAGTGGCGTAACCAAGCAATCGCAAAAGCACCTGCATCTCACGATACTGTACAAAAAATATAAACTATGCAAAAAAATAAGGTCGAATATCTTTTTGTTCAAATTTGCAAGCTGTTTTTTTTCTTGCAAAAAAATTACGATGCACCCGATAAAGGAATATCAAGTGAAAGCCACATCAATATTCCTAATTACTGTTAGTTTGAACACAAGAATTGATATACGTGCATATTCAAATATGTTCTTGCTGTTCATGTATTTTTAATGTTCTGCCATTAGTGTTGTACGGTTGTGTGTGTTTAGTGTTTTAATCTGCTGCTCTCCACGTGTTTTATGTTAATGTTTTCTTTTTTTTATATTTATTCAATTTCTGATTTCATTGTCAGGTATAATTTAGTTGTAAAACAAATTCTAGCTTGGATGACATTTTAGTTGTGTTAATGAAAAAATATACTCAGAAATGTAGTGCATTGTGCAGGTGTAGAAAAAAGACGTCTTTTATTTGAATGAATTATTTTTTATCTCATCAATAATTACCGGCCGAACGCAACCATAGGAGTTGCAACACCGTTCCAGATCTCTTTCAGTCCAACAATGCCAAATCAGCGCAGAGCCCCGAAAGGACCACTCGGTTACTTCTAGAATCACGCCAATAATCCCTTGGCAGCTGACGATATACGGGGCGCCACGGAGGCGACAAGTTAACCACTTGTAACTCGACTGGTATACAAGAGTTTGTGGATTCGATCCGGACCCTGCTGACGCCTGTATATTTGGAGTTTGCATGTTCTCCACGCGGTCACGCGGATTTTTCTCTGGGTCCTTCCACATTTAGAAAGGTGGGTTTGGAGTATTTGACTGCGATACATTTCCACGTGATAAGCCACTTTGTTGAGATATCATTTGTGGCCAGGTCGCTTCTGAAAAAGAGCTGTATAGCTCAGTGGGCCTTACCTGAACAAATAAAAATAGTTTAGTTTGGTGTTCCTTCATTCTCCGCTCACAGGGGTTTGCCAAAACGACAATCGCACATACTAAGACAACTAAAGACAACAAATAAAGAAATAAAACATTCTGCACTGGTATATATACACAAATGAACAAATTTCAGACATATTCTTAGTTTTTTCGGTAAAGTCACGAAAGCTTTAAATCAAAATTTAAATTTCAGACAGTTAAACAAAATTATGATCATGCTAGGAATAGAAAAAATTCGCAGTCTGTAGAAAAAAAAACTGAAGATAAAGTAAATTTAATGAAAATCCATCACGAAGGGAGGAAAGTGCTACTCTTCATTTTAGACACAGATATCAGAAATAATGACAGCGACAGGAAGTGTGTTCTCGAGGAGCAGTGAAAGGGAACAATGAGTGACCATTACTCCCGTGAAGATGAATCGGTAGCTTAAGCGTGAAGGCAGTGCTTTACAAAGCAAAGAGGAAGGAGAAGTTTGTGAAAATGAGGCCAAGGAAGAAAGCAGAAGGGATTAAAAGCGTGAAATATGTTAAAGATGACAAGATGTTGCAGTTGATGGGTACATAGAACGAAAAGTCGGCGCGGAGAATAACAGTTGTAGTGTGATATCTTTAGTACGTTCGAGTGAGAGTGCCCATAACGAGTCTTCCCTATCACCTGCAGTTTTCAGATTTGACATATACAGAGACGAGTATAAAGTTGGCAGCGTCAAAATGAAACGCAATAAAGGCTTAAAATTGTTTTTTTATTATTATTATTATGCAACAAAGTAAAAGTTTTGAAGGAGCAAGAGATATGACAAAGGGGTGTTTGAAAAGCACGAGATGGGAAGGGGTGGGAAGTGATCTTAGGGTCAAATATTATATCAAGATTCTGGATTGTGGCTACATGAACACGAGAAGGTGAGCGATCACAATGATTATATATGAGGCTCGAGTACTTGGAGAAAACAGATCCCTTACCAAGTAGACTAACTTCATACAAGGTAAGCGGAGTTAAAGTTCTCACATGGTTAAACACATAAATGAAGAATCGTCAAATAGAAGAAGAAATACAGTCAGGACAAACAGACAAAAGAGTGACACAATGTTACGTTTTAAAAAGATAAATAAGTGAAATCATTTCCAGTTAAATTGCATCATCATGGGACCTCCTTTGCAAGTACCAAAATATGAGATTACGTTTTTCCCCTTTATCTGGCAACAAAACAGGTGTTAAGTTCATATTCTTAGTTTTTTCGGTAAAGTCACGTTGAAGAGAAACAACAAAATATATATAAACAATAAAAAATTCTCACGACGTTTCGACCATAACTCAAACGGTCATCATCAGGTGTGTCGGTTTGCATAAATTTATTTTGAAAACGGCATATTTATTTATTTATATATATATAAATAACGTTTGCGTCACACGCAACGATTGGCAGTTTGCCCAGGACTAGTCCATCTATTTTTTGAAAAGAGGAGGGGGGAGACGAAATTTGTTTTTATGTATGCTGTCTGAAAGCCACTGTAAGCGTGAACAATCAATCAAGAACTGAAATGATTTATCAAATCTTTCCAATGATTGCTAAGATAGAATCCATCTTCTCGGTTGAAATTGTCTCTGTGCTTGTATATGTGGATAGCCTCATGAACGAATCTCTCATGGAAGTCAGATGGCTTACAAAGAACCTCCGTCTTGGAAAAGTCAATGGCATGTGAGCCTACTGAATTAGAACAATGATCTGCTACGGCCGAGGTGTTGGTCCTACCGTGTTTAAGGTCTGCTTTATGTTCACGAATGCGGTCCGAGATATGGCGTTTGGTTTCTCCAATGTAACTACTACCACAGAGGCAACTTAGTTTGTAGACACCAGGGTATTGTATGTCCAGAATCACATCTTTTACAGACGGAACCAGATCACGGATTTTATGTAATGTGTTGTTTCTCTTCAACGTGACTTTACCGAAAAAACTAAGAATATGAATTACTGCAGTCACGAAAGCTTTAAATCAAAGGTGTTAAGTTGTTAAAACACCAAACTGAAACCTTCTATAAGGAATCATATCTGCATTAACTACAATACTTGTGGTCAAAATGCAAACAAAAACATACTCTGATTACATATGCCTTGTCTTTGAAACTGATTGGTCCACACCAGAGAAAGCTTTCTGTTGAGCCTCCTCTCAAACGGTGTTTGCATTTTGACCACAAGTATTGTGGTGAATGCAGACATGATTCCTTATAAAAGGTTTCAGTTTGGTGTTTTAACAACTTAACACCTGTTTTGTTGCCAACATCCTCAAGTAGTGCCACATCTCTCTTGCACAAATCTCTTATGTCGTCAAGCCAGTTAAAATTGCAATTTTGAAACACAAAGTTCTTGTCTGCAGCTTCACAGCCAAGCAGGCAGCGGTCGTACAGCCACCGATTTGTGCCTGTTGGGTGTCAACAGTGCAAGCGTGTGCATCAGTGGCTCAGTGGCCTCGCACACCGTGCCACGGAACCCGGTGACCCGAGCTCAAACCTTGGGCACTGAGTGAAGTCTGCGTTGGTTCTGGGCCTCCTCCTAGCACTCACCAATCCGCACTGACCAACGGTAAGTGAAGTGCGGTCAAAGAAAACAAATCCTGGCGATTGATAACGCATGGGGGAGCCTTCAGTCAGCGGTGAAATGACCAAGTGCTGAAACGTATTGCCATCTCATCTGCATATCAATTTACTGTTTGTAATACATTACTATAACAACAGTCCAACAAGACACCTTGGTGGACTTCAAAGACTCCGACTATAGCCATGCAATCTACAAATAAGCAAAGATAATGCTAAAGAAAAATCTCGCCTGACTGGAAATTAAACTCAGATTTATTATCTCGGGTCAGGCGCTCGAAACACGTTGGTCTCAAACTAAAAATTTTAACTAACTCAACACATGCATGTGCCATGAAGAAGGACCATTGCCTGAAACTTTGCCTATTGTATATGTTTCATTTTAAGGCCACGGTGCTGTTATTGACGAATGTTTTGAATTTTTGTTGTCCGTTGTTGCTTGGGCACAACTGCCAATGCAACAGCAGCAGTATTGCCAAATCATGAATCTCGTAAGTTCGCTACTAATTCTACTGCATTGGAACTGAAACCATCCGGTGATGCATTTGGATAAATGACGCTACGTAAAAACGACTTACTATTGTTATAAACACCCTCCTTGAGTACAGCAACTCATATGTATGTATGTATGCTGCACTTCTATTGCACCGTACGTAGCCAAGCATGCTATATCCGTGCTGTGTCCAGATGCGTTAAAAAGTTAAATTACACCTCATAGCTCTGACGACACCAGTTTGAAGACAAGGCTATTTCATACACGTCAACCCCAAAGGGTTCAAATCGGCGAGACCCCGGCTGAAAACCCTTGGGGGAAAACCCCCCCCAATAAACTGAAAGGGGGCCAAGAAACCGAGGAAACCAAAGAAACAGAGGCACAGAAACACGTGTAGTGTAATAGCGCCGGCTGGTGACCAGCAGCGGCAACTGCGGTGGACAAACGGTACACTCGCCGGTGAGCATATACACGGCTGTGTGTGTCGGCAGGGCAGAGGAACTTAGGCAAGGGTCATGGAGGGCCCCATCTGGAAGCCCCTGGAACCTGCTAGTGGGTTCGAGAAGGGAGGCGCGGCTAGGGCGGAGCCAGGCCGCGCTGGGAGCATAAAAGGGGCCGAGAGCGGGGAGCTCGAGGCCGCCGGTTTTAGGGGTTTGGATCGTCTCATCGTTGCCGTCGTCTCGTCGCCATCGTCGCTGCCGTCTCCGCTAGATACTGCACTGCTAGATAGCCTGTTAGCTGTCTCGGTCAGCGCCATCGATGTTAGACGGCTCGTGTTGTGTATAGGAGAGCGACTAAAGAGTGTGCAGGTGAGATCGTGTGTGTTCAATAAAGAAGGTGCCTCAACAAACCTCGTCTCTGACTCACTGACACTACACATGTGACTATTACACAGGCAAAGGCGAATCTACTTTTACTCATATTTTAAAGTAGTTTACAGTCTCCTTATAGTTTTAAATAGTTTTTTTTTTACTTTGGGTTGGTTATGTATGGTCCCTCCGATTATAACGGTTGGCTCCGTATGGTGCGAAAGAAGTTTAACATAGATAAATACAAAAGGGAGGTGGAGGTCACTAAATTAGTTTGCTTAGCCACAATCGCCTAACGTCCACCACTGAGTGAACACCCCCCCCCTTCCCCCCCTCAAAGTATAAATAAATATCATAACCAACTTGGACACTTGATATTAGTTTCCCACTTGCTTCTCATAGAAATGCTGTCTGTCACTAAAGACTAAACTTTTGGAGCTGACCCTTACACGAGACCTGAACCATCGGCATTAGCTACCGGGCGAGGCGCTGCAATAAATAGGGCCGGGATAATTATTTTCAAGCAAGCAATAAAATACGTGAGAATCGTTGCACGGTCAAGACACATGTGCAAAAATGTTCAGAGCCAAGTGAGTCTCAAGGGTAATCCTTGGGGTAATCCTTGACTTTTGATACAAGGCCATATGGCCTTAAACTGAAAAACGTCCATGCATTAAATGTATGGGGAACAGAGGAATATTGGTTCGGGCTATGAACACAGTGTCCCAAGTTCGACTTTCAGCCAGCCAGGTAATTGTCATAGTTTTAAATGCCTTGCCCAATCTTGATAAATCGGACTTATATAAGCCACCAATAAAAAAGATGCCTACCTAAAACCTCACTCCCATCACCATCCATCTCAGAATTCCCTCATCAATACTCTACACCATAGAGCTCGATGTATTTCCGACCATCACCACCTAGCCAGTGAACTGGAGCACATACACCAAGCCCTCAAGATGAATGGATATTAAGACTACACAATCCGTAGAGCTATCAATCCAACCGTTGAGAAAGAACCATCTGACGACCCAATAAAAACCATCACCTTGCCATACATAGCAGGGGTCACCAAAAATATTTCCAAAATCATGAGCAAAAACAAGATCCAGGTTCGACACAGTACATAAAATTCGTGATCTGATCCCATCTGTGAAGGATGTGATCCCTGACATGCAATACCCCGGCGTCTAGAAACTAAGCTGTCTGTGGCAGCAATTACATTGGGGAAACTAAGCGACATGTCTCGGACCGTGTTCGTGAACTTAAGGCAAATCTGAAACACGGTAGGACCAATACCTCAGTAGTGGTTGATCATTGTTTCACCACTGTGGGCACACACGAAATAGATTTTTCCAAGACGAAGGTACTCTGCAAGCCCACTGGCTATCAACAAAGATTCATTCATGCAGCCATCCAGATATATAAACACAGACACAATTTCAACCGTGAAGATGGATACAAACTGAGCAATCATTGGAAGGACGTTATCAACCAGTTTTAGTCATAACTGGCTGTGATGTTTCCATCCTAACTGCCGATGTTAGCAGTTATTTCTGACTCTCTGAGTTACATACCCGCTAAATGTCTCACTAACACAGCCACCGTTGCTCTTTGTCCTCGAGTTGGCGGTGTCCCTCGTTTTTTAACGAGCTGGATGTCTCACGAGCACAGCCACCGTTGCGATGGTTCGTCTCCATTGACATGCTAATCTCTCACAGTACAATGGCCACCTCCACAGCTGCGTCGTCGTCGTAGAGGTACATCACCGATCTTACATTGACATGCAAATTCCACCTCTAGCCCCACCCACTTACCCTTTGGCTGAGCCCATCTCAAGCCTATATAACTTCGTGTTTCAGCAGCTCTCCCGTTGTATTTTCTCCTATCTCGGCAGCTCTCTCGCTATATTTTTTCGCCTGATGACGATTGCTTGTCTGGCGATCGAAACGTCGTGATAATTTTATATTTTTTCTATCTATGTGGCTTTACCGAAAGACCCAAATAATATGTATATAAGAAATGACTTTATTCATTATATTTAGTGACTTGCTTACCATGTTTCTCTTTTTCATCTTTTTCCTACTTCTATAATTTTTGTGTATTGTTTGTTGCTGCTGTAACTTGCCAACCCGCCCATACTAGACGTCTGTGAGAAAGCTTCATAGCTCATCGGATACCTCCTGTCTAATATCAAGATTCTTGATTTTGAAAACGTTATCACGATGCGCATTTGACAACAGCGCGAGAGGCAGCGTAGGTGGCGTGGGTGGCGTGGGGGGGGGCAGTGGGGGAGGGGGGGGGTGAACGCGTACGCGCGCAAAACGCTTGAGCGACGTCTCGAAGCCCCGGCTGAAATGCCAGTCGGCGATCGGCTGAAAGATGCCCTTCACGGTGTCCTCGGAGAACGCATCGATGGCGAGCACGTTGAAGTGGCGGAGCAGGCGCGGTGTGACCTCGTGGCGGCCGCCACCCACGGGGGCCATGGCAGCCACCACCGCCGTGTCCTGCAGATGCACCTCTCCACCTGTTTGCCTGCCGCGCGATGGAGCAGCGGGTGGGGGGAAGAAAAGCGCTGTTGAAATGTGACAAAGCGACATGTGCCACTTTTTTGAGATGCACGGACAGGCCATTTGCAGGAGCAAACATTTCTCTTCCACGTGGTTTTTTTTGCTTCGTTCATTTGGGAGTGGTTTATTCAGCGAGTACTGTGTGACAATGTAATGCACCATTTCTTTGGGCTAACCGCCAAACAAAAACGGTCACCGCATCGCGCGCTTTCAGATGCAATTCTGTGGCCATTTGGCACAGTTTTTCTTCCGATATTAGGAAGCCACTGGAGCTATGCACTTTAAAATAATCGAGACTGAAACTCATTTCTTTCTAACTGCTTTTTGCGTTTAGTTTGTTGTTCTCCCCGCAACTCCAATCAGCACGGTTGACCTCGTGTGGTGCAAAAGAAGTTCAACATACATACGATGCGACACGTGACACTTTTTAAGGTCCGTGGAAGGCCAATGCAGAAGCAAAGATTGCTCTTCCGCGTGTTTGTCTTATTGTTCGTTCTTGAAGTGGCTTAGTCAGTGAGTAATATGTGACAATGTAATGCACCGTTACATCCACCACGAGCATACTGAGCAATGCGTTGGCAACATTTGACACGAGAGCAGAGTTGTACACGCAAAGAGACAAAGGAACTTCACCTTGCAGTTTCTAGGGGTCTATCTTTCTCAGGGATAGAAATCATCCACATGAAGTGCGGCACCAAATTCAATGCGATTTTTTGAAGCATTCACCTGGGAGTTTGGTTGAGGCCATCGGATTGCTACACTTCACAACCACCGCTTAATTACAGGCGGCTACCTGGATTCGAACCCAGGTTCTCAATGGTATTGGCTCCGTACTCTGACGTGTTATGGATGCACATTTAGAAACTGGAACACATTTATTGACGTATGTATTCATTTACTGTCTAGAAGAATTCTGATTTCTCTCGGACTAGTGCTGTTTTATATGCTATGGATGCAGCAATAAAGTGTTTGTGTGTATGCATGCATGTGTGTATGATGAATGTCTGAATGGATATATATATAAATGTCTGCGCGTGTTTATGCATGTGTGCGCGTGAATGCCAATGCCTTAACATTTGTCAAGTTGTTTTCATTACAATGCTGAGTGACAGCTGGACTGACAAGGGAATGGATGGTCAGGCAGATGGGCAGTTACATCGCAAAACAAGAACAGAACACACTCCAGTGTTGCTGCCAGGGAAATCAAAACACAATTCAGTTTGCACTGCTCGTGTGTGTACACAAATATATCTAAATGTTGGCTAGTCAGTCGGATAGTGAGGCATCCTGTTGCATTAATACATCACTTTGTATTTTCCATGTTGGTCATGTTTGATTAAATGCCTTTAACAGGTCATAAAAAAAAAAAAACAACAACCGCTGTACAACATTTATAAATTGTAAGGACAAGCTTGAGTTTTCTCCAGCAACATTCATATTCATTAAAAAAATATACGAACTAAAATGCTTACATTTCTAGCACAAGCACAGCAGGCCACATGGTCGAAAGCTGTTGGTAAACTGGTGACAGCATTGTTATCTGCAGCCGTGCTTTCGAACCTCAGTTTAACACAAAGACTCACACCTACCATTGTACGTCACTACCCCAACCCAAACACACCCACGTATGTACACCACATGAACATATCCACGTCGATAATTAACTTGAAGACATACTAAAAGTATCAACCAATTTGTCAATCAATTGCTTCTTCAAAATGCTAATATATATTCGGGCTAATGCAGACAAAATATATTTGTGCAAGGGAATGGGTGCATGCATCAGTGCCGAGCCATTACAAGCAAAATAATGGCAATTACCGTAGAATAACGTGTACTTAAGAGCAGAGGTGGCAGTACTATATCAAACCTGACGAGCGCGCGTGGGTGCGCCACTTGGTGAACTCCGGCGCAAATGTGCACGATTGCTATGCAGACAACGCACCCGCAGGTCTCCAAGGACGTCAAAGTCAAGACGACAGTCTCCCGCGTGCAACAGCAACAAAATATTTCAGCATGCGGAGCTTTCAGCAACTCGCACGATCGACGGCGGCCTGGGACGGAGCTGTCTGCCACTCTAAACTAAAGTAAACTATTTTTTATTTTTACCAGGTAAGGTCCACTGAGCTTCAGAAGCGACCTGGCCACAAATGATAGCCCAACGAAGTGGCTTATCGCGTGGAAAATTATATCCGCCTAATACTCTAAACACACGTTGGTTCTAAATGTGGAGGCAAAGATCGGAAGATCCCGGAGAAAAATCCACGCGACCAATGGGTGAGACACGTGCAAACTCCAAATATACAACAGGCGTCAGGGTCGGTATCAAACACACGACCTGTATACCAAGCGAGGAAAATAACATGTCACCACCATGGGGCCCGTACTCACCTGTCGAACCAGTAGCCGTGGTCAATCCACTGCCTCAGCAGCTCGATGGGCGGCTGCGCTCCATACTGGCCCTTCGCAGGCATGTTCAGGTCGTCCACAAACACGATCATCCTCTTGCCCAGCAGGGGACCGTAGATGTCTTTCTTGCGTCTTGGAACCGGCAAAGGGGAAGTGACGAATGTCAAACATTTTCCAGGAACGCAAGTGCCGCGTTCGGCGAGGTTTGACTGCATACGAAAATTTAAGTATTCCCTGCGGGAGCTGGACTATTTTTTCAAGTAAGATGCGGGTATGTCAGCACATTTAGCCGCCATAAATATCCTTCAGGAATATAGATAAATTGATCAATCTTGGAAGCCGGGTAGCTCAGGTTGCTAATGTGTGCATCAGAGCACCGAGCCTACAATGATGGGATATTGAATTGAATTCGGGCAGCCACCTGTGTCTAGTGAGTTGAAGGTTTTGGCCTCAAATTCAGGATATCTGTACAATCAAAGGAGTAAATGGAGCGGCAACCCTGTACTTTGGCAGAGCAGAGTCATTGGTGGAAATTCCACTTCTCTATGACCGGGGACAATTGCCTTCCGCAAAAGTGGCCGTCGTTTTATGAATTCCAGAGGGATGATAGCCTGATTTCACCATGACCAAGATTGAACTGAATCCTCGTTAAGTGCTCAAATCATATTGTCAGAATAAACTGATAACAACTTTCTTAAAAACCCAGCACCAAACAGTGCTATGAACAAGGTCATATTTTTTTGCTAAATTATTTTACATCCTGTGTTACCTGGATTTAACATTTTAGAAATCTACTTCTAATTGTCATCTAAAAAAATATAGTGGGATGGAAAGAGTTTAGATTTTGCTAGAACCCAATAAGCTAAGTGGAGTAAATGAAACATGGTCAGTTTTTTGTGACCTCAGTCAAACGTTATAGTTAAAACATAGCGCACTATCAATATCATTGCCGCCCTCTCACGTTGTACCGCGTGTTGTTCAACATGATGTCCGACGTTGCTTGCCACGTGCTTCTTTAACTTCGTGACTGAAGAAGGTCTCAACATGTTGAGTACACACGTCAGACATCGTGCCGAAACACGCGGTACAATCCAGCAACGTGTCCACGAGAGATAAACATCACAGGCGTGAAAACCTACGCGTTAGTATAACACGCAGAATAATCCTTTATTGGACTGAAAATTACTCTGTTGCTTCAATTCTCCGCCTGTCAGTCAGGGACGGTACTTAAGTTAATTGCCGTCGCTGACTGAATTTCTTATCGTGTAGACGAACAGGCGGCTATGGTGGCGGCGCGTGCGTGCGTGCGCACCTCTCCAGCTTAGCGAGGATGCTGTCCTGAGTGTGCACGGCGCTCGTGTGCGCCGAGAACGCCAGCTCGCAGGCCACGTGGCTCTCGCTGGGGAGGGCTCGCAGGAAGGCCCGCGTGCCCCACGTCTTGCCCGTGCCGGGCGGCCCCACCAGCAGCAGCGGCCGGCCGCGGCGTGGGACCGTCTCGAGGAAGAAGCCCAATCGCGCCGTCTCAGCCGTGCCGACCAGCACCTCGCTTGGCTGCGAGCAACGCGGGAACATGGGTCGGTCAGCCACTTTTTCCGCCACTCAGATGATCAATCAATGGAAACCTATGAAACTATGAGCCATGTTAATTTTAACCATGCAACGCCCGCTGAGCTATGCAGCTCTTTTTAATCAGCGACCTGGCCGCAAATGATAGCTCAACGAAGTGGCCTATCACTCGGAAATTTATAGCAGCCAAGTACTCAAAACGCATTTTTATGCTATATGTGGAGGGAAAAACCGGAGGACCAGGAGAAAAATCCATGTGACCACGGGGAGAGAGCCAGGCGTCAGGGTCGGGATCAAACTCACGACCTCCTGCATACCAGGCAAGGTCGTTAACATCTCACGACTGCGGCACCCATTATTTCTTCAAAGGTGGCTTTCTCAAACCAAAGTTCCTCTATGTACATACGTATATTATTCTCCTCCAATAGAACTAAAAAAATGCCATAATAATAATTAGGTTAACCTAAAACAATGCATTTCTTGACACTATTTTCATATTTATCTGTAAATACCAGGCTGAAGAGGTGCGTTTGAAGTTTTTTTTTTTTAAGCTTTGCATGGACAGGCAGTCCCTTATCTGACGGAGCAGGGAATTCCACGGGCTCGGGGCTGTATACGCAAGAGATTGGGCACCAGGTGTTTCCAATCACACACTGGGGATGTATAGGGATGCCCCGTCGGTGGATCAGAGCAGTCCAGGGAGGGGCAGTAGTATGGAGAAAGGATATCCTTCAGGTAGCGGGGTCCCTGGTCCGTTGTAGGGCCGTAAGACGTTACCGGTCAATAGCGTGGCAGCCGCATTGTACACCAGCTGCATGTGACGCACATTGACATCCGGTGGTTCTAGGTATAGGGTGTTGGAGCAGTTATGATCACACCATCATGACGGGTGTCCCTTGGCGTGGCATTTCTTAGGAGGGTCGGTGAATTCATTGAGTGGGGTTGTAGATTGTCGTCAGGGGTAGGTACGGTAGGAGGAGAGGTCCATCAAATTATAGGGACAAAAGTTTGTTTTTATATACTTCACCCAAGAGAGCGGCGATTTTATATTTGTTCACGCTCAAATCGCCAGTGGGAATGAGCACCCACGGACACTTTTTTGAACGAGAGGCCGCATTTTTTGCACTTGGCTATTTTTTTATGAACCCATTGGGAATTTAAGTATCGCTGGCAATTACCATCTAGAGCAAATGCAAATGATGCAGAGATTACGTCTAAGGGTGAATTTATACAGAACTTTAATAAACTAACAATGACAACAATTATTACCATAATTGCCATCAACAATGTGCCGGACAAAGTGCGCAATTGCCCTGTGGCACAATGGGACAGAGGTATTCATTATTTCTCAGTACATAGGCTGCTAGCCCTGAAACACTGTTCCCTCGACTCTGCATTCTGTTGATATAAGAACACATTTAGACGCTGGATAAACTATATGCAGCCACGTAGCAATGTGGATGGAGCCTGAGGCTCACAAATATTGATCAGGAGTTGACTCAGCTCATTATTTTTTGGCTCAATAAAATACATGCTAATGTGTAAAATAATGTGCAATTTCCAAGAATGGCTGTTATAAATACAGAACAATTATAACTTAGGTTATTCCGAGAAGCCACAACAGAAATGCACGCCACCCCACTGATTTAGCAATTGTTGGCCTTGAAACTTTTAATATCAATTATTTACCGACCTTACCAAAATGAATGTGGGATATTTACCACTGGCTCATGGCCCCCAACTGAGATGGGCACCTACCCAGCTCATTTGAGGTTAATTTACACCCCCCCCCCACGGAATGATTATAAGTCAATGTAATATAATCAAGTTCACGTTTATTTGTTTCACCAGACGAGGACTCAAGAGACCACGTTCCGTCTAATTTTCAAGAGTGACCCGCTCGAGTAATTATTTTTTATGCCGTAATTAATGATTCACGCTTCAAAAGAAACTACCATTTATCATGAGAATTAAGTTTATTCAGAAGTTTGCTTCCCGAGTGAAGTTCATTGAGATATACAGCGCGTTTTAAAGGGCAAGTAGGACGTCAGAAATATAACAACGCAGATGTAACATTATTGAATTGGACCTGCCCATCCCACCACACGCCATGAGCCATTTTGAGGCAACAAATCAGACCACCTTGCCTCAGCAATTGATGTATCAATGGCTTAAATGATTTCCCCCCTGATAAAAAAGTGTAATCCTATCACTCTGGTTCTTTCAATAGTCACGTAGAATGAAAATAAATTAAATAATAATAGAATACGACGTTTCGATTGTAACACAAGCAACCATCATCAGGTAAGAAATAATGAAAAAAAAACCTAGAACCAATGAGTAATTCCTGCAGTCACGAAAGCTTCGAATCTAGTTTGTAATCCTATCGTTTTGAGATCTAACCCCATTTCCATCACAGGCAGGATATTATTTCGCTGGAGAGGATCACAACATTCGACGTAAAACAATCGCGATGTGCGGATCAAATCGCGCGCCGAGTTTACGCGCGAGATTCACGCGCCGTCGCTAATTGTACCGGCGGGCAAATCTTCACGTATGATTGAGACCAGAAAAGTACCCACTCGAGAAGAAAAAAAACAACCTTTTTTTGACCCTCGTGAAAAAAAACAGTCACCATGCCCTCGATTGCCAAGACAACAAACACGCGAGGCTGACGAATACTGCGGGCAATAACTTTGCCCCAGCCATCTAATTTTGTTTGTTTAATGCTCCAACCTCACTCTCTAGCAGACTTGCGGCATAAGTGACCTTGGTCTAATTGGCTGGCCGCGTGCCAAAGATATATCAGCAACCACATTTTACCACACTGCGCTGTGATTAAAAAAAAAAACAGCTTTCAGAAGCGTCATAACAAAATAACAGTCACGTAACCTGTAACTACCCTTCAAAATGACGCTGCAAAGATACACCTTCTCGGTGTGATGCCTTTTCAGATGTTAGGTCCCCAGCAGCTAACGACGTAGATTGGTTGCCTGCAAAAACATGTTGTATTTAATTTTAAGATGGGGATGACATTTTGAAATTGTATTGAATTTGCAGAGATTGACGTGTACTCGGCTACAATCCTCGCATCCTATATTCCATTTCCAACCATTTGAAACATTCTAATTTTCCCAAGACCTCCCCTAGGTTGACTCAGCAACAACATGAGCACCTGACAGTGCGTGTATATGTAAGTACTGGGGATACGAAGGTGGCCAGGCAGGGCAGAGACCACATTAACCCACAAGTCTCATTATTCCATTGGGTCGTCTGCTCTGATTCTCTTTTTCCGTGTGTTTTTTATTCTGTGCCATTCTCTAGCCACATCAACAGTACTCATATCTCGAAACTATTTTTTTTATTACCGGGTAAGGCCCACTAAGCTACACAGCTCTTTTTTTAGAAGCAACCTGGTCACAAATGATAGCTCAGCAAAGTGGCGTATAATGATGTGGAGATTAATAGCAGCCGAATACTCTAAACGCACGTTTCTAAATGTTGAGAGAAAACCCGAAGCACCCGGAGAAAAACCCACGCAACCAGGGGAAGAGAGAACATGCAAACTCCAACTACACAGGCATCAGGGTTGGGATCGAATCCACGACCTCCTGCATACCAGGCGAGGTAGTTAACATCTCGCCCCACCTTGTCCTTCCCTCTCGCCCGTGGTCTCCCTCTACTCATTCTGCCCTGCACTGGATGCATCTCCATCGCCCTTCTACGAATCAGTTCAGTTTCATTTATTAGGTAGAGCCCTGTGAGCCATTCGGCTCTTGAATCGGGTGCAACCGCAACAAACTAAATTCCAGTGGGATGCAAGTCAAACAATAACAACCATGAGACAATTTATATTAAAGTTATCAGTTTAACTCTGTACAACAACAAACAAATATGGCTAATACAAAACGTTTTCGAAATCACCAAAATAAAGCTATAAAAACAACGTAACAGTGATCATAGGAACTGTGATTCAGATTGAACAATAAACGATATACATAACATGTACGACCAAACTTTGCAAATATAGCTGGCAGCATGAGTCACTCCATAACAGTAGGACTATAAAAAAAATTTCAATGCACCTTTAAAAATCGCATGTCTCTCCACAACACACGCCCGCACCATCCTGTTCACCTTCTCGAAAATATTAAGAGGTGCTGGCATACAGCACCACCTGTCTGTATAAGTTACTGGTAATGGAATTACACTTTTGGTGGCAGCTTGATTCATACATCAATGGTTCCCACCGTTCACATTCTAACATCTATAGGTCAGATGAGCTGCTCTCTCGATATTCCCAACCATCATTAGCACCATTACAACATTAAGATTCATAGGCTGTGGGAATGCCTTATCCCTTCAGCTAAAAATCAATTCTAATGGGTCATTCAATGTCAATGTGCATATATTCATGGAATTAATTTCTGCCTTACTTGTTCCTGTAATTAAGTAGTTAAACCCACATTTGTAATGTGTGAACGCATTTTATAAAGGCACTATTATTAAATGATAAAAGTTGACACAATGTTTGCAGATTTCTTGCCCGACTTTCTGAAATGCCATGGAAAGCCCAGCAATTCCCCACCCCAAAAATGGCCAAGTGCGCCTGCCCAGACGTTTCTAGAAGCATCAGTATCGAGTGTGAATAACTGAAGAATACAACCGCGACGGCGTGACGCAATGGAGATGATAATAATAATAAAGAAATTATGCAACGCATCCGACATTATTCATTGATAGACACGCCAGATGCTCGCTCTGCAAGCGGCGGTTTTCCGAGTGCAGCAAGACATCGTGCATTAGGGCGTCTCTAAAGGAGGGGGGATGGAGGGTTGTGAATGTGTATGTTGAACTTCTTTCGCACTGTACGTAGCCATCCGTGGTAATCGGAGGTGCAGGGGTAGGACACCAAACTACAGATAAAAAGCAGATGTGTGGGCGGTATGATGGGGGGCAGTTTTGTGGACTGCTTTAGAACTACT